AGTTGTCCTTTCAGACCCTAGGAGGGTTCTTAAGTCATAAAAATGGGTTCCAAATGGTTAGTTTAGCTTCATGCATCATTTAGAAGTCCTTCATGGAATAAGATCTTATGTTAAGAACTTTTTGGACATGCTAGGTCATAAAATTTGAGACTTTATGACTCCTACGAGGATTTTAGCCATGGATCTGAATTATGGATGTAAGAGCTTAAGCCATTAAGCTCTTAATAAAGTTTGGGACTTGCGATGGTACGCCCCGCTTACTCAGAGTACGCCCTGCGTACGAGGTTAACCACCCTGATGGTGGTCAACTGCGAGGCTGCGTGTACACCCAACGGACCTCCGGAGTACGCCCCACGCACGCACTCTAAGTTGACTCGGTTGGGTTGACTCAGTTGATCTAGTTGGTTTGGCCATTTGACTTTGACCAAGTTTGACATTGAGGGTATTTTGGGAGTTTGATGGAATTTAGTCAGTGGTGGGAATAGGTCTCGGTTAGAGAGATGAGATTCAGAGTTGGGACCTCATCAACTTTTGTTCAGTTTGTGAGGTGAGTTTTCCTCACTGTACTTGCATGTCGAAGCCACCAAGGCCGAACCATTGGATTCGATATCCTGTTATGCATGCTATTGTACTGTAGTGATCTATTAGATCAATATCCTTGTATATAGGATGATGCTATGCTTAGTAATCTGTAGATCTGTCTTGCTGTCTGTAGACTGTTATATGATTATCTGCTATATGTGCACATGTTTGGTTGGTGGTTGAGGCTTTACTGCTTTTTACGCGAGCCAACAGACCGAGGGCATTCCAACCCGATGGTTGAGTGGGCCTGAGGGTATTCCATCCCGAGGATGACAGGACCCGTTGTGTATTGGCATTCCAACCTGATGGTTGAGGGGCCTGGGGTATTCCAACCCGATGGTTAACTGGACCCATAGTGTATTGCATTCCAACCCGATGGTTGATTGGACCCGACATGCTGTTATCGTATATGTTATTTGTTTGTGTGTTGGTATTTTGGAGGATCTCACTAAGCATTGGCTTACAATTTTGGGTTATATTTCAGGTACATCAGATGACCGCGGGAAGGCGAAGGCGTGACCGTACACATCCTCATATTTTGACTTATGATTTTGGGAGACTCTGATGTTGAAAATGTTTTGAAAACTATGTTTGTAAACGAATTGTGAATTTGGGTTGGTTTTAAAAATTTTGAATTTCTTGTGATTTTTATGGATGTTACAAGTTGGTATCAGAGCCTTGGTTTGAGTAAATTGGAGGAACACTCGTGCGAATCCAGTCTCAAACTAAGGAAAAAGATTTTAAAAAAATTAAAATAAAAAAATGATTTTCAAATTGTTTTCAAATAATAAAAAAGGATGCGATGTGTACGATCAGCCGGAGCCAGTAAGTCGACCCCAAATTACCACACTGTTATTTGATCTTGTGATATATTAGAACATTATGCTAATGATAGGCCAGGGATCTTCAGGAATTGCATGATAGAATTTTCTGATTATATGATGCCTGATAGGCAAGGGTTCTTCCTTATATGAAACTGACATCATTACTGTAGTTGCTTAGTGTATGCATCATAGTTATACATAACTAAGATTCTATAGCCTGAGAATGTTTGGTTTGATCTTATTTCCTGTTCTTGTCTGATGAAGGACTTAGGGTAGGATCAGATATTCGACTGTCTATAGGGTCAAGTGTTATGTATGATTAGCATATGCGAGTGCTGCCGGGTTGGTGGAAGTTTCATAGATGAGTTGTGTGGGGTCAGCCGACCAGTTTCATGATGTTAGCCTTCCTCTAGGGAGTGAGGATTGAGTGTATGCGTTTTCAAGTGTGTATTTTTAGGGTTGTTGTGATGGTCCTTGAGACAAATACGGGTAGCTGTGGAAGGTAGTATGGGCCCATACTATTGGAAGCACAGGACCCGTACGTGTAACAAGGAAGTCACAACCCCTAGCGATTTGTTGGGAGTTGTTTCCCCTGGTATGATATGTATGTTATTTGATATCTCCTTGGTTTATTTTCAATATGATGACGACGAGACGATTTGAGACAGGATCGGGAGCTGGCGGCCAGGATGGGCCAGCTGTGTCTGAGGACAGAGAGATCCTCCAGGAGGAGGTTGTTGCTCACTTCCGAGCACAATTGCCAGAGATGTTTGGGTCTATTAAGACCGCCATGGTGGAGTACTTTGACGAGTGTTATGCTGCTTTGTTTGCGGCTGTTGCAGCCACCGCAACCGTTTCAACTGCTGGGATTGGTGCTGGGAGAACCTTTCAGTATCGGGACTTCGAAAATACGAAGCCCCCAACTTTTGATGGAGTTCAGGATCCGATCATAGCCATGAGGTGGCTGTCTGACATCGATGGATGCTTTTTCACTTGCTCTTGCCCAGCTGATCCGAGGGTCAGGAGGTGCGCTCTGAACCTTTTACGAGACCTCACTCCTTACCATCCAAAGCCACTATTGCCTACTACGATAATGTAAATATTGCCTACATGTCTTCTAGTCCGGTCAAACATCAAAAGTCAAAGCACGTTGAGATCGACATCTGCTTCATTTGCAATGTGGTCCTGTGGGCCATGTTCAAGTTTTACATGTCACTTATAATTAGTCCACGTAATATACAAATATCTTTACCCAAGGGCTTCCTTCTACAATATTTCATGAGTTCAAATCTAGTAGGAACATTTAGACTCTTCATCCTAATAAAAGAACGGGGACATGTTAGCGTGTTAGTGTATTTGTACTAGTAATTGTATTACGACCTATTCTAGGCTCATTATCATGTAATGCCCGCTTTTACATTGTATTTATATCTTGTAATTCCCGCCTTTATATTGTGTTTATGTGTGATTAATGTGATAATCCATTATGCAAAAACATACGAATTATTAGTTACTAGCACTTATGATCGGGTGTCAAGTAGGTGCAGAGGCCTTAACATTCACCGACTTATTTGGAGGATTGCCCAAATATGACCATCTTACGATTAATAATAATATCTTGTTTTTCTAGGTTCAACTTCCCGCCCGCCCCAATAAAATTTGGTTGTTTAAATGTTCGTCTATGCTTTTGATCAGTTTGGAGTGTTTAAATAGGTTTTCGAAAACTTTAAATGCAAAGGCTTATAAACAATTTGCCACCCTATCATACTTGTCTAGTCATAAATAGCGGGTTGATGCACCGGCAAAACGAAACATAAACTAGCCTTAAACGACACTTAGACAAAATAAAATGATTGAAAATTAAATATGGAATTTGCCAGTGAGTATTATAAGAATAAGACACCATCTCAAGACACCGTGAAAACAATTTTCTAATCAATGACGTCCATTCTAACTTTTTCATTGCTTCTAACAAAACTTTTGCCAAGTCTTCGAATTAAAGCCCTCCATATCATTAGCCTAATATTTAATATCATAGCTTTAATCAACCTCAACAGTCTGCATGCATGTCGTGGTTCAAACTATATGAGAAAAAAAAAACAGGAAGCACATATCTTTCATTGACTTTTATTCCTTCGTTGACTTTTGACTCAGATGGTATTATTGACATCTTCAGAACTTGTAATTATAAAAGTAATAGCTCACCCTTAACAAGAAGCACACATCTTACATTCAATAAAAAGCTAAACAACGTACATTATCTGAAAGCAATTTCATATCATCTATGCCGCAGTTTTCTTGTTGAATTTGAATCTATTATAACTAAATCAATTGCATCTTAGATTCTATTTGACTATTCCATTAGAAATCAGAATGCCAGGTCATATTTTACTATTTCAACTCAATATGTTTAGATCAGCAATTATGGATGTTGACTAAAGAATGCTGTTTTATGGATGCATATTTCAATTTAGCTTTACAAACACATACATACATACATACATAAATACATGCATGCATACGTGTACATACATATATAACTTAAGTTTAGGATGATCTAATTTGCTTTTAACACGTACGCCACTTATGATCTTAATCAATTTTCATTTAATTAAGACCTTTTAAGAATTCAAATCACCAAGGTCCTTCTAGGGTCGATCGGTTTTTCTAACTCCATTTGAGTTCACCGTTAAATACTAATTATAACCCCATATGAAGTCATCATCCTCTCCATTCTTTATAAATTAGACAATGCCATATATAGATCAGAGTCACCAAGTTATTGTATATTTTGTAAGAGAAATTAAATATCCTTCTACTTTTGTTCCTATTATCTTTTTACCTATTTTAGATGGTGACAAGTGTCATTAAATTTAATTTAAATTTGATTGAGATGTTAAGTTTAGAGACACTTGTTATCATCTTAAATAGGTACGAAGAAAATTAGGAACAAAAGGTAAAATGATTTTAATTAGTGTTTTCATTATTTTCTCCACTGACTTTTGATTCAAAGGGTATAATTGAAATTTTCAAACTTGTAATTACTTGTGAATGGTGGTCGTTAACAGGAAGCACATATCTTAAACACTTTTGAGAATTAAATAAGTATATTTGACGAGATTAATACCTTAAAAACTATACTATCCAGACCGCAATTTTCTAGTTGAAAACTTGAAACGGAATCTACGTTAACTAAATCAAGTGTATCACAGATAGAGAGCGGAATTGACTATTCCATTAGGAATCAGAATGTGAGGTCGCAATTTACCATTTCAACTCAATGTGTTTAGGTCAGCATTGACTAAAGAATTTTGTTTTTGTTTTGTGAATCCTTATGTGAATTTAGTTTAAACACACAGACACACAGACAAACACAACATATATAATCTAAAATTAAGGATAATCAATTTAGCTTTTAGTATGAAGACATCACTTATGATGGGAATCAATTTTCATTTAAAACCTTTTGATAAATTCGAATCAGCAAGCTCCTTCTAGGTTTTTTCTAACCCCATTTGAATTCACCATTTTTATAGCCCCATTTTGAAGTCAACTCTATGCCCTATAGTCTTTATAAATAAGACACTGACATCGATATTCAAACCCATCAAATTAACATGAAGAAGTCTCAAATAAGCTCCTCTGTCGTCTTCCTCCTGGTTCTTTGTCTTTCCTTTTGTAACTCATGGGCAAACTTATCTTCCCTTGTTGATGTTACACCAGGTACGGAAAATTTCATGAGTTGCATACAGCCCAAATCCAACAATGTCACCTCCTTCTCTCAACTCATTTTCACACCTGTGAATGCTTCTTTCATTCCCATTTGGCAAGTCGCAGTGCAAAACACTAGGTTCCTTAAACCCTCCACTCCTAAACCATCAATCATCGTGACACCTGTGGATGAAACACTTGTCCAAAAGGCTCTATTCTGCGCAAAGAAACATGGATACGAGATCAGGATCAGGAGTGGGGGCCATGACTATGAAGGCCTATCATACACTGCTGATGTTCCGTTTGTTATGCTTGATTTCACCAACATGAGGTCTATAGACGTGGACGTAGCTAACAGGACCGCATGGGTCCAGCCAGGTGCTGTGCTTGGTGAACTCTATTACAGTATTTCTCAGAAGACGACACCTTGTATTTCCCGGCAGGTGTTTGCCCCACGGTGGGTGTTGGCGGGTACATGGGCGGTGGTGGCTACGGAAACCTACTGAGGAAATATGGTACTGCTGCTGATAATGTTTTGGATGTTCGCTTTATGGATGTCAATGGAAATATTCTCGACAGGAAGTCGATGGGTAAAGATTTGTTTTGGGCAATACGAGGAGGCGGTGCTTCCAGTTTTGGAATCGTTCTTGCATGGAAGCTCAGGTTGGTTCCAGTTCCAGAAAAAGTAACTGTATTCATACTGAATAAAACTTTGGAAGAAGGGGCAACCAAAATTTTCCATAAATATCAATACGTTGCGCCAACTATTGATAGAAATCTACACATAAGGACTCAGGTGTTTGCCGAATATATTGGCAACACCACCAAGAAAACCATACGAATTATGTTCGAAGGAATTTATCAGGGCACAAGGGACACATTGCTTCCGTTGCTGGACGAAAAATTTCCTGAGCTCGGTGTTAGACGAGAGATTTGTGAAGAAATTAGAAGCATCCAATCGACCGTTGTGTTTTGGGGCTTGCCAAGCTCCACCCCAATCGAGATCCTCACGAACCGGTCTGCTATAGCCAAGCTGAACAATAAAAGTAAATCAGACTATGTCCGGACACCAATTCCCATACGCGGCCTAAGAAAGATATGGAGAAAGCTCATGCAAAACGACGGATCGGCACTTCTCATGATCAATCCTTTTGGCGGAAGGATGGCTGATTACTCGGAGTCAGCAATTCCATATCCTCATAGAGCTGGGGTGTTGTTACAGATTCTCAAGACTGTTAATTTTAACGGTCAAACTTCAGACACAACCCCTACATCGCTCAAGAGGATAATGTGGCTGCGAAGCTTGGACGAGTTATTGACGCCTTATGTGTCAAAGAACCCAAGAGAGGCATATTCCAACTACAATGATTTGGATTTGGGTGTTGGAAGTTCTAATTATGAAGAAGCCAGTCCTTGGGGTGAGAGGTACTGGAAAAGGGACAATTTTCAGAAGTTGATTCGAATCAAGGCCAAAGTTGATCCGAATAATTTCTTCCGGCGTCCACAAAGTATCCCTGTTTTCTAACACCTCTCTCTACATGCGACACCATTTTCTTGAAAAAGGATCAAATTTAGGGTTTTACTTCTTTTGTTTTTTTTAATAAACTATCAATACGTCTAACGTACTCATATCGCTCTGTTTTAAATGAATATCTAAAATTAATTGTTAAATGATTGTAATTTACATATGAATTGGTTATGATTTATTCTAATAGATACATTGTTTGGTTATTATATTTCTTGGTTATACTTTGTGTTGACGAATAAATATGATGTATTTAATTCATAAGACGTCTTCGATAATTTCTAATTTAGGCTTGGGTTTAAGTTGGATGATGAAAACTATCCTATGTTGGAACTCGTATGGTTGATAAAAACTTATTGTATAAGTACTTGTTGGTGGACTTGTATATTGTATGGAGCATATCATAAGCAAACTACATATATGTAATGTTATATGAGGGGTCAAGAAAGGAAGGATATTAGTGGAGTTCTTTGTCCGGTCGCAAAACCTTGTTTCTAGCAGCTCCAAGTACAATAACATACTCAAACCTTGTTTCTAGCAGCTCCAAGTACAATTACATACTCATGAACTTGGGGTCAAGAATGGGATGACTAGTTATAAGGTATAAGACCATTCGTTGGCGGCTTTGTGAATGTCACACGTTGGTCAGTATGTAGATGCCTACTGTGTATTTTTGTCAGGACCCTTGATCATTGGATACAACGAATGGTCTTTGTTGTGTCTTTCAATATTGTATTTCATAATATTTATTTTGTATTATAAAATGTAAGTAGATTGCTATTGTTTGAACTTTTCCCAAGAAAATAGTCTGTATATTAAATATGGACGTGAAAGTAGGTTGCTATTGTTTTCCCTTTCCTTGACCACTAGTTTAAACTGATTGTTAATAATAATGCTCTTAATTATAAATTGTTTGATGCTTGGTATTATCATTGTTACTAAGTAGTAATTAACCACTAAACCAAATCATGTCACATGTATTTTGGATAAATGAGTTTAAGAAAATGTTGTTGCTGGAATGTACAAAATACGTGTAACATCCCGATGATAAGGTACTTCTAATTTCAACCCTATAATTTAATTATGTTGCATTTTGGTCCCTAAGTTCAAGAAAGTGTGCAAAAGGAGCCCTAGTGGCATTTTTGTAATTTGGCCTTCGGAGTACGCTGAGCGTACTAGGGCGTGCCCTAGTACGTAGGGCGTACATCAGTGTACGCGGGGCGTACTTGCCAATTAAGGAAACCCTAATTTTTAGGGTGTGACTCATATTTAAGCACTCTTATGGCCTCATTTCATTCACCTTAGCTGCCTCCATCCCTCTCATACGTTTGTGCAACCCTAGTTTCACCTTGAGGAGCCTTTTCAAGCTTAAAAGTGTGTTTTTGGTGCCTTAGAAGAAGGAGGAAGGAATCCAAGTTTATCTTTAAGGAGTGGAACACTTGGATCTGAGATTTCTACATCTCTTGCAACCTTTCTAAGGTATAAAGCTTGTAACTTTATCCCTCTAGCATATAGATCTAGATTTGGGTGTCTTTATGGACCTTTTAGTCCCAAAATGTTAGATCTTGAATATGGCATGCTCTTGACCTTTGAGTTGTCCTTTCAGACCCTAGGAGGGTTCTTAAGTCATAAAAATGGGTTCCAAATGGTTAGTTTAGCTTCATGCATCATTTAGAAGTCCTTCATGGAATAAGATCTTATGTTAAGAACTTTTTGGACATGCTAGGTCATAAAATTTGAGACTTTATGACTCCTACGAGGATTTTAGCCATGGATCTGAATTATGGATGTAAGAGCTTAAGCCATTAAGCTCTTAATAAAGTTTGGGACTTGCGATGGTACGCCCCGCTTACTCAGAGTACGCCCTGCGTACGAGGTTAACCACCCTGATGGTGGTCAACTGCGAGGCTGCGTGTACACCCAACGGACCTCCGGAGTACGCCCCACGCACGCACTCTAAGTTGACTCGGTTGGGTTGACTCAGTTGATCTAGTTGGTTTGGCCATTTGACTTTGACCAAGTTTGACATTGAGGGTATTTTGGGAGTTTGATGGAATTTAGTCAGTGGTGGGAATAGGTCTCGGTTAGAGAGATGAGATTCAGAGTTGGGACCTCATCAACTTTTGTTCAGTTTGTGAGGTGAGTTTTCCTCACTGTACTTGCATGTCGAAGCCACCAAGGCCGAACCATTGGATTCGATATCCTGTTATGCATGCTATTGTACTGTAGTGATCTATTAGATCAATATCCTTGTATATAGGATGATGCTATGCTTAGTAATCTGTAGATCTGTCTTGCTGTCTGTAGACTGTTATATGATTATCTGCTATATGTGCACATGTTTGGTTGGTGGTTGAGGCTTTACTGCTTTTTACGCGAGCCAACAGACCGAGGGCATTCCAACCCGATGGTTGAGTGGGCCTGAGGGTATTCCATCCCGAGGATGACAGGACCCGTTGTGTATTGGCATTCCAACCTGATGGTTGAGGGGCCTGGGGTATTCCAACCCGATGGTTAACTGGACCCATAGTGTATTGCATTCCAACCCGATGGTTGATTGGACCCGACATGCTGTTATCGTATATGTTATTTGTTTGTGTGTTGGTATTTTGGAGGATCTCACTAAGCATTGGCTTACAATTTTGGGTTATATTTCAGGTACATCAGATGACCGCGGGAAGGCGAAGGCGTGACCGTACACATCCTCATATTTTGACTTATGATTTTGGGAGACTCTGATGTTGAAAATGTTTTGAAAACTATGTTTGTAAACGAATTGTGAATTTGGGTTGGTTTTAAAAATTTTGAATTTCTTGTGATTTTTATGGATGTTACAAGTTGGTATCAGAGCCTTGGTTTGAGTAAATTGGAGGAACACTCGTGCGAATCCAGTCTCAAACTAAGGAAAAAGATTTTAAAAAAATTAAAATAAAAAAATGATTTTCAAATTGTTTTCAAATAATAAAAAAGGATGCGATGTGTACGATCAGCCGGAGCCAGTAAGTCGACCCCAAATTACCACACTGTTATTTGATCTTGTGATATATTAGAACATTATGCTAATGATAGGCCAGGGATCTTCAGGAATTGCATGATAGAATTTTCTGATTATATGATGCCTGATAGGCAAGGGTTCTTCCTTATATGAAACTGACATCATTACTGTAGTTGCTTAGTGTATGCATCATAGTTATACATAACTAAGATTCTATAGCCTGAGAATGTTTGGTTTGATCTTATTTCCTGTTCTTGTCTGATGAAGGACTTAGGGTAGGATCAGATATTCGACTGTCTATAGGGTCAAGTGTTATGTATGATTAGCATATGCGAGTGCTGCCGGGTTGGTGGAAGTTTCATAGATGAGTTGTGTGGGGTCAGCCGACCAGTTTCATGATGTTAGCCTTCCTCTAGGGAGTGAGGATTGAGTGTATGCGTTTTCAAGTGTGTATTTTTAGGGTTGTTGTGATGGTCCTTGAGACAAATACGGGTAGCTGTGGAAGGTAGTATGGGCCCATACTATTGGAAGCACAGGACCCGTACGTGTAACAAGGAAGTCACAACCCCTAGCGATTTGTTGGGAGTTGTTTCCCCTGGTATGATATGTATGTTATTTGATATCTCCTTGGTTTATTTTCAATATGATGACGACGAGACGATTTGAGACAGGATCGGGAGCTGGCGGCCAGGATGGGCCAGCTGTGTCTGAGGACAGAGAGATCCTCCAGGAGGAGGTTGTTGCTCACTTCCGAGCACAATTGCCAGAGATGTTTGGGTCTATTAAGACCGCCATGGTGGAGTACTTTGACGAGTGTTATGCTGCTTTGTTTGCGGCTGTTGCAGCCACCGCAACCGTTTCAACTGCTGGGATTGGTGCTGGGAGAACCTTTCAGTATCGGGACTTCGAAAATACGAAGCCCCCAACTTTTGATGGAGTTCAGGATCCGATCATAGCCATGAGGTGGCTGTCTGACATCGATGGATGCTTTTTCACTTGCTCTTGCCCAGCTGATCCGAGGGTCAGGAGGTGCGCTCTGAACCTTTTACGAGACCTCACTCCTTACCATCCAAAGCCACTATTGCCTACTACGATAATGTAAATATTGCCTACATGTCTTCTAGTCCGGTCAAACATCAAAAGTCAAAGCACGTTGAGATCGACATCTGCTTCATTTGCAATGTGGTCCTGTGGGCCATGTTCAAGTTTTACATGTCACTTATAATTAGTCCACGTAATATACAAATATCTTTACCCAAGGGCTTCCTTCTACAATATTTCATGAGTTCAAATCTAGTAGGAACATTTAGACTCTTCATCCTAATAAAAGAACGGGGACATGTTAGCGTGTTAGTGTATTTGTACTAGTAATTGTATTACGACCTATTCTAGGCTCATTATCATGTAATGCCCGCTTTTACATTGTATTTATATCTTGTAATTCCCGCCTTTATATTGTGTTTATGTGTGATTAATGTGATAATCCATTATGCAAAAACATACGAATTATTAGTTACTAGCACTTATGATCGGGTGTCAAGTAGGTGCAGAGGCCTTAACATTCACCGACTTATTTGGAGGATTGCCCAAATATGACCATCTTACGATTAATAATAATATCTTGTTTTTCTAGGTTCAACTTCCCGCCCGCCCCAATAAAATTTGGTTGTTTAAATGTTCGTCTATGCTTTTGATCAGTTTGGAGTGTTTAAATAGGTTTTCGAAAACTTTAAATGCAAAGGCTTATAAACAATTTGCCACCCTATCATACTTGTCTAGTCATAAATAGCGGGTTGATGCACCGGCAAAACGAAACATAAACTAGCCTTAAACGACACTTAGACAAAATAAAATGATTGAAAATTAAATATGGAATTTGCCAGTGAGTATTATAAGAATAAGACACCATCTCAAGACACCGTGAAAACAATTTTCTAATCAATGACGTCCATTCTAACTTTTTCATTGCTTCTAACAAAACTTTTGCCAAGTCTTCGAATTAAAG